CCTACGATATCCTATATAGGATTTCATAGGATTTGGTAGGCAATCTTGGAATTGGATTTTATGATAGGATCGTATGATAGGGTTCTCATAGGATCCTATTGTAGGATCTGGTAAGATCTGATAAGATTCTATAGGATCCTATCATAAGATTGTGCAGGGTCTTGTCTGTTCTTGTAGGAAATTATAGGATTCGGTCAGATTTTTTGCCAGCTGCGGTAGAACCGGTAACCCGTTCTTGCCCCTTGCATTCACGCTTGGTCTAGTGTATACCAGTGTATTAATCTATAATTCTTTATTTTTTCATTCATCTCTATGTCTACTGTTGTGTTACAAAAAAATATTGCAGAAAGGTCATACTGCACATAAACAACAAACAATGTAGAAGTTTCAATTGATTTCAAAAATATCACAAAAGAACATCTGGTTTAAGATAAAACTTTGAAAGACACACAACAAACAAAACGCACAATAGTTTTCAGCAAAAAGGAGAAAAAAATCAACAACAGAAGAAAAAAAATAGTTTAAAGTTTTAATATTGTATGTAATCTACAACAAAAACAAAAGAGAAAAAACCTAATTAAATAAAGGCATATATAAAGATGCATAATATTTACCTTCTTGTTAAGCACTATTATCACTAATTGTTGTTACTGTTGCTGTTGATGGATTAGCAACAGTGGTCGATGTTTGTTGTGGTGGTGGAATTTGATTTTGTGCATTTACAATCGTTGTTGGTAATGCTGTTTTACGTGTTTTTTTGCGACAATCACATATTAATTGGCTTAATGTTTGGTGCAATACAGTTTTAAAAAATTCATCATATCTCATTACATCAATTCGATATTTAGCACAAATAGTCTCTAAAATAGAAAAAAAATAATGACCAGAAAAGACAAAAAGACAGAGACTACTGGTTTCATATTCAATACTCTCTAAGATTTTTCTCTTGGCTGTTTATCTTAAGTTTTAGAAATAAAATCAACACCGGCAGAGAATAGAGAAACATCGTCTAATTAGTGAGAGTAACTGAACTGGCGCT